CGGACGTCTCGTCGCGGTCGAGCGACGGGCGAGGACATCGTCCATCACGCGCGGCGGCGCGACGACGTCGACGTCGACCCCGCGCGCGCGGTTCGACGCACGCGCGGCGCCTGGCGTGGGTCCGTCGCGGTGCGTCGCGCCCGAGAGCGACGGCGCGCGCGTGATCGGTGATACGACCGCGCGCGAGCGAGGGACGAACGACGCGCGGTGCGCGCGATGTCCTCGCCGGAGACGATGGAGCTCTGCCCGCTGTGCTGCAACGAGTTGGACGCCACGGATAGGCGGTTCCGGCCGTGTCGGTGCGGATATCAGATCTGCGCGTGGTGCTGGCATCAGCTCATGGAGCTCGCGAGCAAGGACGACGCGAAAGGACGGTGTCCAGCGTGCCGGACGGAGTACGATGAGGACGACATCACGTTCGATGAGGTCCCGGAGGAGGAACTAGCGGCGCAGAAGAGTAAGAAGAAGGAGGGTAAAGCGGCGGCGAGCGCGGCGTCTCCGGGGGCGAGCGCCAAGGTGGGCGCGGCGGCGGCGGCGAGGAAACACTTGCAAAACGTCAGGGTTATACAGAGAAACTTAGTGTACGTCGTCGGTCTGAGCGCACGGTGTTGCAAGGAGGAGGTGCTGCGAAAGAATGATTTTTTTGGCAAGTATGGGAAAATTTTAAAGCTGCAAGTGTCGGTGAATCGCACGGGGAGCTCTTCTTACGCCGGCAGAGACGCGGAGAACACGGGGAGCGCGTACGTGACGTTTTATGAAGAGTCAGACGCGATGCAGTGCATCCAGCACATCGATGGGTCGCCTCTGGATGGTAGAATACTGCGCGCGTGCTTCGGTACGACAAAGTATTGCAACGCTTTTCTCAAGTATCAGCCGTGCAATAATCCGGATTGCTTGTACTTGCACGACATAGGAAAAGACAACGATTCGTTTACGAAAGAAGAGATGCTGGCACACTACGGGACAAAGCACCAGAGCTTTCAGGAGGCGACGCGAGTGGTTTCCAGCTCTAACGCGAGCGATAGCATTGGCGCAGCTCTGCCGCGCACATCAAGCCTTACCGCGATACCGGCACCATTCACGGCAGGGGTGCGCGTTCCCGCACCGAGGAATAATATGTCCCCACCGCCTCCAGCGGGACCACCGCCGCCGAACGCCGTTGGCGTGGGTGTCCCGGTGGCGAGCGCGTGGCCGAGTCTAGGAAGCAGCAGTAGCAAGGCGGCGACGCCCCTGGCGCCGACGCCAAAGCCGGTGCCGGTAGTTACAACGCCCGTGGTTGCTCCGTCGACTACAAAGTCATCTATTCCGGCGCCGAGAGTGCCCGCACCACGAAGCACCGGTGTCTGTCCGGTTCGACCAAACGGAGGTTGGGGCCAGGAAGCGAACGCAACCCTCGGAGTGTTTGGAGGCCCATCTAGCGAAGCAAATGAAACGGCGACGACGGTGCCGTCGTCTGCGCAAGTACCGAAAACGAAAAACGGATTCACATTACCGCAACCTCGCAAGATTGTTGGCGCTGCCACACTACCTCGTCCAAAGGAGACGGGAGGAGATGCCGCTCCAGCTCCAACGACGGCTGCCCCGCCGCAATCGACGAATGTGTCGACGCCCGTGGACGCTTTCCCGGACAATCTCTTCATGGATGCGTTCAACTCGAGCCTAGATTTCGATCCAAGTGCGGTTCTTCGAAGACATACCGGTGCGTCGCGGCCATCTCCGACGATAGAGCAAACCAGGGCCTCGAGATTCGGTTTCGCGCTCGAGGCACAGTCACCAATGTCGAATGGCGCGCCAGGCGCCAGGGATGGAGAGTCTCTTCTTCGTGCACTCTTGCCAGGCGCCAGTGTGCGATTTTCCCAACAGGAGTCGTTGAGTGAAACAACGAACGGAACGCTCTCCTCGCCGCGCCGCGGGCCACCACCTGGCTTTGGTCCAGCCAAAACTTTTTGACAGCGAGGATGTCGAGAGTATTTGCGTACAAACAGAGGTCGCGCAAAAAAAGCATTGTGTATTTCAAGCAGTGTTGTGTTAGACAGACAGACCGTCGATAATGGAAAACGGAAAGCGCTCGGTCTTTAGGAGGGCCATCGACGAGACGCTTGATTTTTGTAAAATCGCCAGATTATTTTCAACTCACACAAAATTTTGCGCTCGTGACTTAGTTCTTTCTTTAACCAAGGAACGTTCGACGAGCGACGATAGTGTCGGTTTCAAGCTTACATCACAAATCTATTGCGCGAGCGCCGACTTCTTGAAAATCAGCGGCTTGGCCCCCGCGAGATCCTCAAGAGCCGTTTCCAGCTTTTCGTTCGTTCGCTGAAGAAATTCGCGAGCGCTCTTTGCCTTTTTCAACTGCTCCACCCTGATGACGTCCCCTTCTAAACTGATACGCATGTCACCGCAGTACACGTCTTCACCGTCCAGTGCACTGGCTCCACCGCGCCACTCCTTGACAGAGTATCCCTGCTCAAACGCTTGTAAGCCAACTTTTAAGTTGTCCGTGGAAACCTCCATCAGCGTCGAGAGCACATCCAACTTGATGGACGCATACATCTTTAGAAATTCTCGAAGCTTGGGAATGACGGCGTGCGCAGCTACCGCTTCAAGAAAGCGAGCATGTTGTGCCTTGTAAGCGTCTTCGTTATCACCCGTTGCGCTAGCGATGAACTTGGGGCACGCATAGGAGAAGAGTTCGTCGAAGACTCGGACTTCACCGGTGGACATGCGGTTCAGCTTGTCGCTGTACTTTTGATGCAGAGCCAATGAGACGGAATCATCCAAGAGGTACTGCTGGCCTGGTATGAGCGACATAATGATAGCGATCATGGCATACATTTGATCTTGCCTCTTCAACGACAGTGGCAAAGTCTGCGGTCGAGTAGAACTAAATTTGAGGCGATCAATGTATTGCACACCCTCGCTGAGGTGGCGAATCGCGTCCGTGTAGCGACCGAGCATGAAGTATGAGAAACCAACGTGATAAGACGTAGTGATATACGCTCCTGGAATCTTTTTGAAAAGTCCGTCGCGGTCCAGGTCGATGTGGTCGAGCGCCTTGAGTGCCTCCTCGAAATCTCCAGACAGCGCGTGTACGCGACAGATGCCAATTTGTGCGCAGTAACCAAGCGTTCGTAAGACGTTGCTCGACTGCGCGTCGTAACCCTCGCTCGCGGCGAACGACAATTCTCCCTTACGTTCGCTTTCGAGCACACCCGCGATGTCGCTCTTGTCCACCAGCGCCTGCAGAAAGTTGAGCACGCTCGCCTTGTCCCACACTTGCGAATCGAGCGCCTTGAGCTCGCTCTTTTCCTCCGTCGTGCGCTTGCCGCTTCCCTTGAATTGGCAGAAAGACTGAAACTGATACACAAACTCATCGATCATGTCCCACAACCACGCGTTGGGGAGCTGCATGTTGACGTCCCCGTGCAAAGCGATGCCGAAGAGTTCGCAATAGTTATCCCACGCTCCCTTGCGCTCATTCGCACTCGGCGTCGTCTCCGCGTGAAGATGTCTGTAATACAGCTCACCGTACAGCGCCCCGAACACACCATCGTTGTCGTACAAATCAGCCATATCTCTCGGCGCGGGCCAAGATTTCCCCTTGAAGTACCGCTCGCCGATCGCCGCGAACGACCTCTCGTACATCGCGAGCGTCTCGTACACTGCGCTCGAGCGACGCGTCACCTCCGTCAATCCCCGAGTCATCGCGCGCGCATCACATCGAACGCCGTCCTGTTCCCACCCCGCGTCCACGCGCGCGTCTCCCACCGCGCGCGTCGCCGTCGATCGCCCATCGCGCCCGTCGCCCTAGCGTCCGGTCACCCCCATCCGCGTCCACGCGCGTCTCCGCACCGTTCTTCGCCCGCACGTGTCCGTACGCGCATCGCACGAACGCGCGCGCGTGCTCGGGCGCGCTCGTCATGCGGTCGAGTCGGCGTCTCGCGCGTCGACGCGGCGTCGCGGTGGATGGGTGTCCGTGCGCGAGGGGTCATCCACGAGTGATGACTCAAGAAACGCGCCGCCGCCGCCACCGCGATGGCCATCGCGCGCGTCGCGGCGTCGCGCGAGACGATGCGACGGGCGAGCGACGGGCGGGTGATCGGTGGACGCCTCGCCCGAGGCGTGCGCGCGGTGCGTCGAGAGCGGTACGTGCGAGACGACGTGTACGTGGGGTATCACCACGAGGACGTGGAGGCGACCCATCGAGGACCGGCCGGGGAGAGACGATGGGACGTCCTGCGACCGCGACGTGGGGCGGACGGCGCGCGACGGATCGCGCTGATCGATTCGAACGTCGCGTTGCATCAGCTCGACGCGCTCGCGGACGGACGCGTGCGAGACGTGGTGATTTGCGCGACGGTGATGGAGGAGACGCGGGCGCGGAGTCGGTCGAGTTACGAGAGATTGCGAGAGATGTGTCGAGACGTGGAGAAACGGTTTTACGTCTTTAGTAATGAACATCACGGCGAAACGTACGTTGAAGACGTCGCGGGGGAGTCGGCGAACGATCGGAACGATAGAGCGATTCGCGCGGCGGCGGCGTTTTATCGCAGAGCGATACCGGTGTCCGCGTGCGAACGCGTGACGCTGGTGACGAATGATCGAGCGAACGCGAGAAAAGCGCGCGAGGAGGGGATCGATGTCATGAACGTGTTGGATTGGATGCGAACGATCAGCGACGAGGCGAGTTTGACCGATCTGGTCGTCCCGGGTGGAGGCGCGGAGATTCCGGATGAGCGCGAGTCGAAGCGCGCGCGCGCCGCGGGTTCGTCGAGCGCGCCCAAGTTTGACGAACATCTCGACGCGGGTTCCATCAAAGAGGGATTGGCCAAGGGTGAATTGGTCAAAGGATTAATTCGCACGTCGCTATACAACCCGTTTGAAGCACACGTGACGAATGAGGAAACGGGTGAGAGCGTATTTTTGAGCGGCAGAGCGGCGATGAATAGAGCCTTCGATGGCGACTCAGTCGCTATCGAGATCTTACCAGAGTCTGAATGGCTTCGACCGGGATCAAAGATTGTTACGAGCGATATCGAGGACGACGCCGCGGCTACGACGTCTACGGATGACGAAAGCGGCGGCTTAGCGCCAGAGACAGCCGAGGAGACGGACATCGTCGGCGCCGTCGCGACCGGCGCGAAATCGGGCGTCGTCCCCACGGGGAAGGTCGTCGGGATAATTCGTCGCAACTGGCGTGAAAGGGGTTATGCCGCTTCAATCGATATGGGGAAAGACGGAAAGGGGCCGAAAGCTACTGGGGCTGGGTTTACGACGCGCGTGCTTTGCGTACCGAGCGATCGCCGGTTTCCAAAGATTCGCATTCAGACGAGACAGCTGGAGGGCTTGCTCGACCAGCGCATTGTCGTCGTCGTTGACGATTGGCCCGCCGATAGCGCGTATCCTGAGGGGCACTACGTTAAGTCACTCGGCGTCATAGGCACGGTTGACGCGGAGACGCAGGCGTTACTACTTGAGAATGACGTCGACGATCGACCATTCGCTCCGGCAGTGTTCGCGTGCGTACCGGCGTTACCGTGGAGAGTGACAGAGCATCACCTCGCGGAACCTGGAAGAGAAGATCTGCGAGATTTACTCGTGTGTAGCGTCGATCCTCCGGGGTGTAAAGATATTGATGACGCGCTGAGCGCCAGGGAGCTCGATGATGAGCGCATCGAACTTGGAGTGCACATCGCCGACGTCACATCCTTCCTTCATCCCAACACCGCGATGGACGAAGAGGCAGCGCGTCGTGGTACGACGACATATTTAGTGCAGCGACGATTGGACATGCTTCCTGGAGCGCTGACGACGGATATCTGCTCCTTGGTCGGTGGAGAAGAGCGCTTGGCGTTTTCAGCGTTCTGGATCGTAAACAAGTCGACGATGCTGCCAGACGAGACTATCAAACCTCGATTCACGAAGAGTGTCATCAAAAGTGCTGCGGCGTTGACGTACGAACAGGCACAGTTACGCATAGACGATGCGACATTGAACGACGATCTGACTCTCAGTCTGCGGAGGCTTCGAGATATCGCGCGGCGGTTGCGCAAACGTCGCATGGAGAACGGTGCGCTCACGTTGGCTTCTCCCGAAGTAAAATTCGAGATGGATCAGCAGTCAAGCGACCCTCTCGACGTTGGTATGTATGTCACGCGCGAGACGAATCAAATGGTCGAAGAAATGATGTTGTTAGCCAACGTCAGCACCGCCGAGCGCATCTTGGAGGCGTATCCCGCTGCGGCCATGTTGAGACGCCACCCGATTCCAGAACAAAAAATGTTTGAGCCTCTGCTTAAAACGGCTAAGGCGTGCGGGATCGACATCGATCCCTCCACCAATCGCTCGCTCGCCGCAACTCTTGACGCGGCTGTTCGTCCGGGAGATTCGTACTTCAACACACTGTTGCGCTTACAAGCCACTCGATGCATGTCTCAAGCCGTGTACTGTAGCTCGGGTCAGTACGCCGGGCCGGAGCGGATGCACTATGGGTTAGCCATGCCCCTGTACACGCACTTCACGTCACCGATTCGACGCTATGCCGATGTCATCGTCCACCGCCTCCTTAGCGCAGCGATCGGACTGTGTCCGCGTCACGAGTCGCTAGAGAGCTCGGACCACGTGAAAGCCATCGCAGACGTGTGCAATATTCGCCATCGGAACTCCCAGCACGCGGGACGTGCGTCTGTCGAGCTTCACACGCTGGTTTTCTTCAGAAAACGTAAGATCGTTGTCGATGCGCGCGTTTTCAAAGTGCGTGCGAACGGTCTCATCGTCTTCGTGCCAAAGTTTGGCATTGAAGGTCCTGTGCTGTTCCACGAGGAGAAGAACGATGCCGTACTAGATGAAGACGCGATGACCGTGACGAGTGGCGGAAAAACTTGGAAAATATTCGACCAAGTCACTGTCCAGGTCGAGGTGGAACAGTTACCGGCGCATCGCAGTCGTCTTCTCATCACCGTCGTCCCCGATGATACGCCTCGAGGAGAGGCACAGTAGTTGAGGCGAAATAATCGGGCTGGCAACACTGCCTAATGAAGCCACCGTAAAGATTGAAAGCGACTAGCTCTAGATCTATGTAAATCTAAGACGAGAAAAAAGTAGCGGCGCCGCACGAGCAGGTTCGCCCTCCTTGACATACTCCCTCAAATATAGGAAAGCGTTTACTAAAGCTAGGTTCCGGCGCGATTGCGAGCAGCTTTGCTCTCGCCGCCGCTAATCCCTCCGCATCGTTCGTCAACAGTCTATGAAACAATCGAAACAGTCTGATTGACTTGACGCAATCTCCCGCGGCGTCGTGTGTGCTGCTCACCTCTGTGGCGAGTAAACAACGTACCAAGTGGTCCTGCGAGAAAACGCTCCATGACCCGTATCTCTCGTTCCACACCCGCCAAATGCCAGTCATTTCGATCAAATCACCGTAATCTACCCCACGCGTGAGACCGAGCCACTCTTCGACGTCTTTCAGGACGCCCTGCCCCACGACGACGTGACGCGGTCCCAGCACAGACCTCACGCGCTCGAGCGCCTCGTCCAGCGGAATCCCCCGCGTCTCCAGCGTCTCTTTATCGATCCCGGTGAGCGGCGTGAGATACGAGCGCACTTCTTTCGTTTGTTTCACGAACACATCGCACAAAACGCGCTCCGTTCGCGCGCACACGACGGCGATTTGGGCCACCGAGCGATCGTGGTGCTTGGGACCGGTCGCTACACACTCGACGTCGAGCGACACCACGGGGACGGCGTCGTCGAGCGGGTCGGGGTACGTTCGAGCGTCGGCGACGTTCACCGGGGGCGCGACCGAACGCGTCGACATCACGACGGAGGAGACGCTGAGTGAGGCGGGTCGAGAGGGCAGTGGCGCGCGCGAGAAGACGCGCGCGAGACAACGCGCGGGTGCGTGAAGACAGGATATCAACTATTGACTATTACAGTTAGGCGCTGTGAGGAGGGGATACCGTTGTTCCTCGCCATCACGCGTTAGGCGCGGCACATTTTTTAGAATCAAACGCCCGCACCGGGTACGTCGGCGGCTTGGGGAGACTCGTATCGGGAGCTTCCGCAATCATCGCCTTGATTTTCTCAATCGCGGTGTCCAACTGCGCATCTTTGCCGTTGAAAGTTGCCAGAGGTAAGTTACTGACGACAATATCCGGCTTGACTCCCTTTTGTTCAATCGCCCAGTCGCCGTGAAGATACGGACCGTACGACGGAATGGTGAACCCCGAGTCGTCAACGAGTCGAAGCTCTGGGTGGCCGCTATATCCAATTGCCCCACCCCAGGTGCGCTCACCAATGACGACACCTATTTTGAGCTGCTGAATCCCGAGGGCAAACATCTCGGCGTCACTACTCGTCTGCTCGTCGATCAACACGACCACTTTCCCTCGAAAAGTGTACTGCATCGTCGTGTCTCCCGGTCCACTGCGTTCGGTGTCAAACATCCATGCAACGCGACGGAGGCGCTCCAGTAACCATGTATCGATGTTACCACCGGCATTTCGACGAACGTCTATGATCAAACCATTTTTACGCACATTCGGATAGAACTGAGCTGCAAAGTCATCAAATGAGTTGCTTGACCCTTTGCCTTGTTGCTCCATATCTTCGAGGTACACGTACGCAACCTGACCGTCCGTCTTCTTTTCAACGTACTCGCGTCTTCGGACGACTTCGTCCGCTGCTTCTAACGCATCACATTGCTCCAACAAGAGCGGAGTGATAACGATGAGCTCCGGACTCGCTGAATCGGGAGTCTTCACCGCTTCAGCCAGTGTACCTGGCTTCTGAGACGCGTCGCCGGCCTTTGCACTCAGAGTAGACGCTCCCAACTTTGCCGCGTGTTTTCGAACCAAATTTGCGACATGCAGATCCGTCACGGGCTTGTTCGTCTGAGCAGCGCTACCAAGTTGGGACTGCGCTAAACCGACTCCACCCATCATCTTTTGCATCATGCGCATCTGCTGAAGCTTGACTAAATTTTCTTCATCGCGCTTCTCGTCAGCGGAACGAGGAATCTTGACAACTTCAAGAAGTACTTGCGTCCCAGCTTTCCCGCGAAGCAAATCGGAGAGCGGCCGCGACGTCGAGTTAACCAGCACACCATCAATCTTCGTGATGATATCACCAGGAATGAGGTTCACGAACGACGTCTCCGTGGATCGACTCAAAGAAGAATGCGGAGCGTCTAAGACGCCCGTGCTTCGGTGAATGTAAGCGATCTTCAGGCCCTCGGGGACCGGCGTGAAATCAGCCCCAAGACATGAGGATGGAGTACCAAGCGGGATAACGGGGTCCTCGGACTGAACTGATACGAACACGTGCAGTGCAGATAGCTCACCGAAAGCCTGCCCCAGAATGTCTCGCAACTCGCCCTTTGAGGATATTTTATACACGAGCGGACGATAACGATCAGTGACGGAACGCCAGTCAACGCCATGAAGATTCGGATCGTAGAAAGCATCCCTCATGTTTCGCATGGCCTCTTCGTACATTTGCAGCCACTCCTCTCGAGGATTCACGATGACGGTGAACGATTCTGGAAGATTCCAGACCTCTGTTCCAGATAGAAGCTGCTCAGGAGTGACTTGCCCAGACAGCACAGACTTGGATGATACCAAAGCGACGCCTTCGTTTGTAATGAAGGTGATTATCTGCAGGTCGCCGCTAACGATAACACTCGCTGGATCTGCAAATAGCGGCACCGCTTGACGTTTGTACATACTGTACGCGGCGACGACAATGTGACCCTGGTCTGCGACCGTGAGAAGCATCCCGCTTCCGTCGGCGATTATCTCAAAGCTTAAATATTCGGCGTCGGGTAAGTCTGGAACAGCCTGAGCTCGCTGCTCGATATTTTGAGTCGAGATGACAGTAGGCAAGACTTTACCGAAAGCAGCATCGAATACTGTTCCCTCGGAAGTGATCTCATCACCGATGAAAAAGGGACAAGTCATACCAAGGCGAAGTGGTACACACATGAGTCGTGACGTCTCACTGAAGACGGGCTCTGCCCCTCGCGCTCCGTATGGTGAATTCGCCGAAGACACGATCTGTTGATCACTGAAGTAATACAGGTACAGACCATCCGGCGAAAACCTTGGACTGTGTGCGTTGTAACTAGGCGTCGTGATGCGCGTGCTGTCTCCCGTGGACAACTCCAGCACGTGAATCGACGTAAAGTCGTTCTCCTCATCCTTGGCGTAGGCGAGCCACGACCCATCGGGACTCCAAGAGAGACCATAAACGCCCTCGGGACGGAAGCCACCAAGCAAATTCTCAACGGTCGCTAAACCGCTTATCGCAGAGTTTGCAGGATCATTAGGCGCCGCTCTGAGCATGGCCTCTTTGCGTAAAACGCCAATGTTTCTCAGGTGTTTGTTCGCACGTTTATTCATAGCGAAACGACCCGCTCGGCGCGCTGAGTTCTGTCGGTGCCTCACCGACACAGTCTCCGGAATTCGACCGAACTTCGGCTTTTTCGTTGCACCCGAAGTTTTGGCACTAGGTCCGTTGGACGCGATCGAGCGCTTCGCGAGCCTAGCCAATACCGGCTTGGGCTCTGTTGTGCGGTAACGATTTGTGTTCACCGCTGTCTCTGTCAAATTGATCAACTTCAAGTTGCCGTTGGTATCTGCCAGTATGAGCTTCGTGTTATCTGGAGAAATTGAACTGAATTCCATGGCGCCTTTGATTTTGGCGCCACTCGTTATCTGAGTCTCTTTCCAGTGCCCACCCTCGACTTGTCGCTCAAGCATGACGTACTCATACTCACCTGTCGAGTCGGAAAGCGCCAAAATCTTTGGTTGACCATCTGAGCTCGCGTCGCTCACGAACTGAATGTGCTTGTACCGAACAGCACCCTTGTATGTTGTCACCTTCTCAACGCGTGAACCCAAAAATGGTACGAGCGCTGAGTAGAAGACTTGTCCCCGAATCACAAAAGCAGCAAACGCGCCGTCGTTTGTCAGCACAAACTCACTCATACTCCCGTACGGATTCTCGATCTCAGATTCCATCGTCTTGCGGAACTCGCTCACCAGCTCGTATTTGAGTTGTAATTCGTTTCCAAGGCGTATTGTGTTATCCGCAGACAGCATGATTTGGCGCATGAAGAGAGAGCCACCCCGACGGTAAATTAACTCCCTGCCGTCAATACTTATCTCTTTGATGTCAAACAAACATTCATGCGTCAGTTGCACAGACGCGGTGGAGTGAACATTCATCACCCACACGTTTGATACGCCAGTTTTGTCGCTGATAAAGAAGAGATGGTCTTTTAACTCAGCGTCATTTGATGACTCTGGACTCCACGCTCCTCGCAGCCCCCAAGTTGACTCTGGCGTGAGTTGGGTCGCCTCCGAATCACCCTTGCACCATCGCCAGAGTCGCGATTGCTCACCACCTTCATATCGCTTCGTTTCGCTCGTTTGACGAAGAGGGACGAAAGCGTAACATCCAAGCCCATCCTTCACACCCTCGACAGCTTTCGCAAACGGTAGAGGCGATGCCTTGCGTGTGGATGGATTAACCCTTACCAATTGCGCATTCATTGAGGACGAGAAGGCGCTAGATATTACGAGAAGCTCGTCCTTCGACGGCCAACTTGCGACATCCTGTGCTTTACCTCCAAATGTTATCTGCTCGACGACCCCACCTTTCGTTGGGGCGACGAAAACATCGTAACCATCATACGTCAACCCCAAAAACGCGACATAAACGCCATCAGGGGATAATTTTGGTACGCCTTCCCGACTGTACGTCGATGATAATCGCGAAGCAATACCGCCCTTCAACGGAGCTATCCAAATGTTCGTTTCGCTCACGAATCCAACCATGCCCTTCGCAACTGTTGGATACCGGTAAAATCCCATGTCATTTTCATCTTCCTTATTGGTATCTAGCAAGCGCGCTCGCGTCTTTTCAAGCTCTGGAACGATCCCCTTGATGACGGGTCGATTATCCGTTCGAGAGAACAGGTCGTCGCCAGCATCGTCAAGAGACTGCGCAGGTTGGCTTGCCTCAGGTTCTGAAGGTTTCGCAGATGCGACTGGCTGTTTGTTCTCAACACGCACGTGCGTTGCGTTCGCGGGAGGACCCGAGCGAGTTGCATTCTGTTGATGAGTGTGCGTGGCGTTGACGCGTGTGATATTTGATCCAAGAGCCCCAATACTCTCCCAACCTGAGTCTGGTGGGTGCTGCGGAGCGTGCCTTAACGCCCTGTTCGTCGCCGTTCGCGCACGCTCAACGTCTCTCTCGTACTGCGACAACCCAAGCGCCGGCCTTACCGTCGCACGATCTCGCTCGATGGCTTCATCGATAGCCCGTATCGCCTCTAGACGCGCGTTCTCTATCTTGACTGCGTCCCTGCTCCTTCTCGTCGCGCTCCCAGTCACCGTGCCGAGAGCGAACACCATCGCCGCGAAAGCGATCCCTTTCAACGTCGTGGCGCTAGGCCAACTCGATCGCGCGCTCTCGCGTTCGTACGCAGGAACATCGCCACCATCACCGTCATCACCCGTTCGTCGAGGGAAAAGTGGTGCTCGTTCGGCGTCGCGAGCTCGATCGACCACGGAGGCGTGATGGGAGGCACGCCCGAGACTCAGCGAGGAAGCGCCGCTTTCGCCGCGCGACTGCGCGCGACCTGAGCACGACGGATGCTCCATGAGTGTCGAAGCAACGTCTCGGTTGCCGCGAGAACCAAACGTGTACGCGCGCGTGCGCCCGCGACGCGTTGTGAGACGCGCGTGAATTTTATAGTGTTGTACCTTCGTCACGGGCGACAATGTTTTCATGCATACTCGTTTCATCGGTTTAGTATGAATACGACCTTCACGCTGATACTTAGATATTTCAAATGGTGACTATATATGGGGGTCGATCCTGGCCGATCTCAGAGTACACGGAGCGCGCGCGGCGACACACCAGGACGCGCGACGGGAGACATGTCGGCCTCGACTATCGGGACTTTTGAGACCGCGCACTCCGACGCGGTCCACGACTGCGCGTACGACTACTATGGTCGTCGAGTGGCGACTTGCTCGAGCGATCGAACGATTAAAATCTTTGACGTCTCCCAGCCGATCTCAAGCACGGCGGACGACGGCCCGAGCGCGACCGGAGCGGGGACAAATGCGACGTTAAACGGAACGTCCGTTAACGGAGTCGTAGGGACACCGAGCGCGGTGATTGTCGGACACGACGGGCCGGTGTGGAGTGCGCGGTGGGCGCATCCAAAATTTGGCACGCTTCTCGCAAGCGCGAGTTTTGATCATCACGTGATGATTCACAAAGAGGTCGAACCCAATTCATTCGTGTGCGCGTATAAATCACCGATGGGCACGCACGATGGGAGCGTGAACGCGTGCGCTTGGGCACCGCACGAGTACGGCGCAAAGCTAGCAAGCGCGTCCTCAGACGGATCCATCTCAATCATCTCGTACAACGGCGCAAGCGGGAGCTGGAGCGTGGAGAAGATCGATCACGCGCATGCCATAGGATGTACGGGTGTGTCGTGGGCGCCGGCGGCGATGCCGGGATCTTTGGTGAATGCTCGTTCAGGTGGCGTCACGACGGTTGACGCAAAACGCCTCGTCACGTGCGGGTGCGACAATCTCGTCAAAATTTGGCGATTTGACGAATCACAAAATGTTTGGGGATGCGAGGCAACGCTTAATGCGCACACGGATTGGGTGCGCGACGTCGCTTGGAGCGAAAATTTGGGTTTGCCCATGAATACAATAGCGTCAGCAGGTCAGGATGGAAAGGTGTTCATCTGGACGCAGAGTGAGCCACGCGGAGTTTGGCAGTCTCGTTTGCTGCACGAGTTCGGTGCACCTGTGTGGCGCGTCTCGTGGAGCACGATGGGTAATATCCTTGCCGTGAGTGATGGGAATAACACGGTGACAGTGTGGAAGGAATCTATCGACGGCTCATGGAATCAGATCTCGGCGGCGTGATAGGCGGACCACACGTGACAATAAAGATGGAATACAACAGAGAAATTTCTCCTATTCGAACTTCTACTCATCATTCTCGGACGGTCAAACTTTGTCCGATCCTTTTCGCGGCACAAATCTGAGCTCCTTCGAGAGTTCGTCAACATGCGCCACGAATGGATCTTCCAAAGCTTCAAATGCGGAGTCCCCACTCGCACGGAAAGCGCCGCAGTTCGATGAATGCTCGTTCTCTACTCTGAAAATATTCCAAACGGCTCGCCTCAGCACCTCGACTGCAGCCAATGCGGTCACCAGCACTTGTGTAGATAGATTATCGAACGGTAATCCAGGAACTGCGGCAAACAGGGCAGCGGAACGCGCGAGTGTGTTGAAAGCAACAGCACACCCCCATGCAGCATTTGACTTCACAAGTGTACGGCGAGGTAGCAACTCCACGCGCCAAGAGTTCTTCGGGTTGTATGCGACGATGGTCCAATCGCAAAAGTAATCCCAGCAAAGCGAATAGCACACGCTGAAGGCGGTGAAGAAGTACGCCACAATCCACTCTTTCACTGAATGATCATCCGCGTTGACGTGAGCCGCATAGTAGCGCAGCCATAGCGCTAGGATAGAAAATGCATACTTACCCGCGTTCAGGAGATGCCCTCTGGGTCTACCGCCTCGCTTGCACACCACGGCGTCTCTCGCCCGTCTGAAGCTCTGTGCCAAGCGAAACCAGAGCGGCACCGTTGCTGCGATAGCGCGTGTAGAAGCTGTATCACCCGCCAAACCGAAAGTAACGGTCAGATCGGCGATAGCCGTAGAGTGCGACGTCAATTGATCGGCTACGAAGAAATCTGGGAACAGAACGAAGTGCCATGGCGCGGAGATGACGCGAATCACGTGTCTGAGCAGGAATCTACGAGTTGCCATTGGCGGCTGGATAAATATCATGCGAGGATCGTTCGCCCACTTCCACGACTCCGGCGCCGGAATAATACAAGTGATAAAAATAATCAGACTAATCGGCGTCACCCAAAGCGTATTCTCTTTTCCCAAGGACCAAAGTACCGTGCTCGCAGTCAAAATCAACACACAGAGCAGCCAGGGAAACACAGTTGCAAGAATGGCGTGCTCGGCGCGTAAACCCGTCTTCCCGACGCTCCCAAAAAATATCAGCTCCCAATGGACCATTGTACGCTGCCACACATAAACCGCAGGTCCCCAGAGCAGCGATTGCCCGAAAATCAGGAGAAATCCTCGAAGAGTGACGAACGCCGCCAATTCCTTTCGGCATGTCTCATCCGTGGACTCCAGACCGCAAGTAAAGACTAGATACCATAATGGAATCATCAGCGATGGGAAGGCTACGCCCCAGAAGAAACCGCCCAGGAAAAATAACAACGGATTACCGTTACTTTCTCGATCGATGTTTGCTTTAAGTCCATCATCCTTGATGCGGCGACCGGTTTCGCGAAGTGTTTCAAGAAGCCCTTCTCTTTCCTTTCGTGTAATACCTGTTCGACCTGATTTTTCCGGCTGTGATGACGCCATGGATGTTATTCTTGCGGTCATTCCAGTCACAGCCTTGATACGTCGAAGAAGGAGGTGACAGGTCAGGAAAGCTCGTTCACACAATTTAATCATGGTGTTGCACTGAAATGTCGACTCCTTCACATCAGGCCAAAACGCGAGTTGATCGCACGCTGTGCAATAAATCCCGCTCGTTCTAATAAACGCCTCCTTATCTACCTTCTTCGTGATTTTCCGAATGGCCACTGCATTGAGGGTGCTAAAATTCTGGATCATGCACACGGAGTAATAAATTTCCTTGATATCGTGCAACAGGGCTCGAGTAGCTTTCTCTCGAGAGGTAGTTAATGTGACAGGAGAGAAAGTTTGAGCGTCGTCACGAATCGCTTGTGCTGCTTTGCTTGCTCTCTCGTGACCTTCAATTACGTTGTTCTGCTTGAAAAACTCGTGAAGGTCGGTGCCCGAGGCAGTCGTCGCACTTCCAGATCGAACGTGGCGCCTCAGCGGTGGAACTTGAGGTGTCGGGTGCGGCGCATTTTTGCACACACCTGCCGCCTCACTAGTCGCGACCTCAGACTCTTTCGAGCTTGTTGTTGGTGTTTCGGCATCCAGTGCCGCCGAGATGACATCAATACGCAGCAAAGCAGACGCTAAATGTTTCGCCTGAATCTCCACCAGTGTCTCGTAAAATTTGTTACACTTGTTCACTTGCACGTCAAGTTGTTCATAGAACTGCCTCAATGCGTTGGGTACCCCATTCCCTTGGTCCTCAAGCGTGCTCTTCACCTCCAAAAAGTCATCGAGTTCCATTCCGAGCGATTCCCATGTCTCCTCGAGTGCTACGCGTTCCGCATTTGCTTTGCCGCGCTCGTTCAGCTCCGTTGATAACTTTGGCGCGTTGGCGTATCGCGCCCACACAGCTTCGGCGTCGATCGACTCTCGTCCACTCAAGTATCCCGCACCGCCGCCACCGAGGTCGTCGTCCTCTGTCGTCGCGCCGTCCTTCCCTTTGTCCCTCAGTTCCTTCAGCGCGGTGACGAACGTCTTCAGCGCTTCGTAATCGACGTACATTGAGGCCCATTCGGCGACTCGGTGGCGCTCCATCGTTCGCGCGAAGTGTACCATGGTCGACGCGCGCGGCGACGACGGTTCACCCTATCACAATCGCTCGCGTTGACGCGCGCGGCGGCGGCGTCGACTGCGGCGTCGTTCGTCACGTCGCTCGCTGGAGCGGTCCAGTCAGCACTCATGGCTCGGCGGAGCGGCACACCTCGGACGCGGGGCGGCCGACGCGACGTTCAAAGTGACGAAACGACGGGCGCACATCGTCGATGCGGACGTGTGCGCGCGGTCAACGCGCGCGCGCGCGTCTCTGGAGTCGTCCGCGATTTGCGAGGCTTGGAGTCGTCGACCCACGCCCACGCCGCGACGGGCGTCCGCACGGTCGAACCACGGCGCGTGACGCCGTCGTGCGCGAACGAGGTGTCGACATTGTCGTCGACGAAAGCACGTTTTACCGACCGGAATCGGCGCAGGCGCGCGACCTAGGAGCTCTGCTCGCTCGGTCGCACGGACGAGCGCTTGAGCGGGGATTGGATGCGTGCGACGGGACGTGCGCGAGCGGCGCCAGGTTCGCGAGAATGGCCGCGTGCGGGGTGAACTTGCGAAGCGTCACGTGCGTTGACGTATCAGCGGATGTGAGAGACGCGCTGAACGCGAATCTGGACGCGCACGTCCGCTCTCGAGGAGTGGAGACATCTTGTGCATTCGATGACTCACAGCGCGTGTTCGCAAGAAAGTGGTTGGCGGGAGAACTGTACGATTACGTCGACGTCGATGGCTTCGGAAGCGCCAATTTCGCCGACAGCGCACTGCGTATCGTTCGCCACGGCGGATACTTTTATGCGACGTCCACGGACGGTCGAGCGCTGTGTGGACAAAATGCAGAGCGTTGCGCCACGGCTTTCGGTAACAGCATCGTATCGCCATCGAGACCGTCGGTGAACGAGACAGCCGTGCGCGTGTTCATCGGCGATGTTGTACGCAGGGGTAGTGCGCTCAAGCTGCGCGTGACGCCCGTATTTTCGTTATTCCATCCGCACGGCCCGGTCTTTCGCGTGATGTTTCGCGTAGACAAAAGGACTGAACTGAGTGGATACGATGCATTTGGCAAAGATTCGAAGCACATTGGCTTTGTGGGATACTGCGATGCGTGTGGAAACACTGAAGTGATTCAGCGGCCGTTGGTGGATATTTTCGGCCACAACAAACTTTCAGTTGACGATTCACGCGCGCGTTGTTCGCTGTGCGCAAAACGCGAACCCTCGACAGTGGATAGAAGCTCGCAGCTCGCGATCTCGGGACCGATGTGGATCGGCTCATTACACGAACGAGAGACTGTTATCGCGATGCGTTCTGAAGCAGAGGATTTGGGATGGCTAGAAGACAAGAGCGCAGCGCGTGGCCAGCTCTCGCTTCACGACTTGTTGCACGTATTTGAGGAGGAGTCCGATATTCAGCTCTCAAAGGTCTCGCACTACTTCAGAACGGATGAGCTCGGTCGCAAAGGACGAGCCAGACGCGTGCCACCTCGAGATGCTTTACTCGACGCTCTTCGTGCCAGAGGATTCGCTGCAACTCGAAGCTCATTTGACGCGCGCGGAGTGAAGACGAATGCAAGTATCGACGACGTCATTGAGTGTGCGAATCGTGCATGCGTAGACGATGACTTCATTTGTATTGTATGATTGATTGACTATAAACGAATTTCACAGCTGCGAGCCGTCTAAATAGCCATGGTCTCTATCTCATTGACAGTTCTCATGGCGGCCTCGTGCTCTCGCAACAGTTCGCTGACGCGTCCAAGGTCGCTGAGTTTCACGTCAAGCTGCTTCTCATCTTCCTTATCCGTGTATTCAGCGCGCAAGTCCTTGATTCGAACCATTCCATTTTCCCACTCTTGTGGCGCAACGAACACGATATAGCGAGCGCCGATTCGGTTTGCGTAATCAAATGTGTTCGCAACCTTCTTTTTGGGTTCGAGAAGCATGTCCACGTCCGCCCCGCCTGATCGAATCAGCGCAGCAGCTTTCATCGCCTTCCCTTGCATCCCCTCATTGAAAGCGGCGACGACGAATTCTATTGACTTGGGAAGTACGGGCACTAGTCCCTTCTCCTTCAATAACTCAACGATGACACAGTCGCCAAAACCAAAACCACAGGCCGGAACCTCGGACATGGCACCATACAGCGATAGCAACTTATCGTACCGCCCACCACCGCAAATTGCTCGGAGCTCTCCCGCGCGATCAAACCCTTCAAATACGATGCCAGTGTAGTAGGCTAGGCCTCGCACAACGGACGCGTCAAATATGAGCCAATCACCGAAACCATAATCATCAGCAAGACTGAACAAGCGCTTCAACTCCTCAATCCCGGTTTGATCTACGCCCTCACCGCACAACGCGGCTAGTTCATCGACGTTCTTGCACGCCAAGCAGGCAACGATTTTCTCCGCAGTCTCCTTCGGCAAATTTTGTGCGTTGACCAACTCTTCTATGACGGCTTCGTCGCCAATTTTGTCGAGTTTGTCCATGATCACACAGACTGGCGCAAACTTCTCCGCAGTGATACCGTACGAATCGAGCACACTCGCCATTACTTTCCGTGAATTCACCTTGATGCCGACGTCGGCGCTCGTTATTCCGATAGACCTGAAGAACTCGCACACCGCGTACAAGAGCTCTGTCTCCGCGCTTATAGACTTGCAACCGATGATATCCATGTTCCACTGATAGTGTTCACGCTTTCTGCCGCGCTGCGTCGTTTCAAATCTCCAGCACTGCGGGATGGAGAACCATTTCAAAGGAAGCATCATTGAAGCAGCGCGACCAAGAACCATTCGCGCGAGCGTCGGTGTCATCTCCGGTCTTAACGTCACATCCACCCCATCTTGGTCGACAAACGCATACATCTGCGACGTAATTTCTTCGCCAGCTTTTCGCTTGTACAGCTCTTGCCTCTCGAGCACCGGCGCATCGTACTCTTCGAATCCCGTTCTCGTCGCCGTCTGCCGAAACTTCTCGAAGAGCCATCTTTGAAGTCTAAACTCCTCTGGGTACCAATCGCGAGTGCCGCTGCACGCCTCGAGCTCAACCGGTGGTGCCGTCGAGCACTGCACCGACACCCCTCGCGCCGCGCTCATCGCGACCGCGCGTTCAGCCTTGGCGGCCTTTTCGGCCTCTTTCGCCGCCTTCTTCGCCGCCTTCTCCGCCTCACGCTTTAGGGCCTTTTCGGATTTCTCCTGAGGCGCGTCGGCGGCGATCTCGTTCGTCGACGACATCCGCTTCGTCTCGGTCGTTTCCGTCGCGACGTCTTCCTCGACGATCGTCTTCGACGGACGACGAGTGACGATCAAATCTATCCTCGTCGATCGACCCTAAACTTCGGCGGTAGCTCGAAATGAAGACGAAAATGAAGGATGCGGATGAACGCGCGTCGCTGCGTGCCACTTAAACCCTACACGAGTCATGACCCACCGCCGAGTCCCCCAGAGCCGTGCCGTCGCTCGCTCCATCGCTCGCCAGTCCCGAGCCCGCGCGCGCGAGGCCGCGGGCGCGACGCGCGCGATGCGGGCGCCGCGAGCGGGTCAAACGTCCCGCGTCGATGACTCGAGCTTCGGCGCGATGCGCGTCGTCGTTTTACTCGTCCTCGTCCACGTCCACGTCGCCGATGCGTTCGGTCCACGGCCTCGGCCGCGATTGTATGGAAAGCCGAACGTACCGAGACATCTTTTAGAGGCCGAGCTCGCCCTTCGCGAGCTCGCTCCGGGCGGTGCCGCCGCGGCGGGTCTTCTCGCGGATGGCGTGTGGGGCTCGATCGCGGGCGAGTCCGCGTCGACGACGCCGAGATTCGAGGAGTACGCGCTTCGAGGCGACAGTCGAGACGCGCGCGAGCGAACGTTTCGTTCGGACGTTTCAAATTCGGTTTCCGCGCAAGACGAAGAGTACACGGTGGAGATGAACGGCGAGATCGACGGCGGGATAGCCGGGATCGTTCCCGCGGATTCGCTGGATTCGATGAGGGCGTCGAGGACGGGGCAATCACGCGCCGGCGTCTCCGACGCGGTTGAACTGCGCGCTTTATCCACTAGAGAGAACGCGTTAGCGGCGCTCGAGCGAGAGCGTGAAGCGCTATCACCGAGCGAAGAGATGTTTGCGATGTTAAGGCGCGAAGGAGAGCACTTTGTCAACCCGCGGACAGGTAAACCGTTCGTATGGGGCGACACGTGGATGCACTCGCGCGGAGGTGGCGTTGGAACTGGTCGTCCGGAGTCGCGACCGAGACGGATCACGAAAGACGGAGTCGTGGAGGTGATGCCGGCAAAAAATGACGATGGATACAAGTTGGTTCCGGTTAGCTCGGACAAGCGCGGTTTAGTAGAGTTCTACGAGAAATGCAATGGGCCCAGATGGAGTAACACTCGCAACTGGGGCGTTGGCGAGCCGTGCGCGAACGCTTGGCACGGCGTGTTGTGCGTCGGTGGGCGCGTCACAGAGTTAATACTCAATTTGAACAACGTCGCGTGCATGGGGTCGCTTGATTTCGCGGCGCTCGCAGATCATGTGCGTGAGCTTCGCTACATTGACTTGAGCGATAACCTTTTCTCGGGTAGCTTACCAAAGGATTTATTCAGAATGACTCAGCTACAGTCGCTGGTACTTTCCGGTAATCGCATCACAGGCACACTCTCGGAGGACTTCGCAAACTTGCAGGAGTTGAGGCATCTAGATTTATCCGCCAACGCGATGCACGGGCCACTCCCTAATTCGCTCGGCACGCTTGGTAAACTTGAAGTGCTCTACTTGGGAGAATCTGGATTAGAGAACAAGAATGACTTCGTCGGCCCGATTCCGGAATCCTGGCGCGGGTTGAAGTCTCTCAAGTACTTCTCTCTCGCCGGAAACGCGAATGTCGGCGGAACGCTTGCAGATTGGTTGCTCAATAGTCTTGAATCTCTGCACGAGCTGACGCTGTCGCGCTGCGGACTGACGGGTGAAATTCCGCGGAACATTAATCAGTTGAATTCACTTCGCCTGTTGGACTTGAGTGGGAACATGCTTCGTGGACACGTCCCGTTTGATTCCTTCACGCGCCACCTGAAGGATCTGCGGCTCGCCAATAACGAGCTCGAGGGAACGCTAACCTCGGCTATAGGAAATCTGCGAGAAATCGAAAGACTTGATGTGAGCTCGAATAATTTAAGTGGAGAGCTTCCCGTCGAACTGTTCGGAGGCTTGGGTGCGCTGGAAATTTTGGATGTGAGTAATAATCGATTCACTGGAACGCTCCAGGCATCTACGTCGCCGGATGCGTCTGAATTACGCATCATAAACGCCGAGAACAATCGTCTAAGCGGTGCGCTCTTGTGTGCAGATTTCTTTCGACACGCTCCGCACTTGCGTTTCTTGAAGCTATCGAACAACGAGATATCGGGATCGTTCGCCGACGATACTTTCGAGGCGGCTGGAGAGCTCGTTGAGTTACACCTGTCTAGAAACAATTTTGCCGGGCCGCTGCCGCGGTCGTTGGGTAGCATGAAGAAGTTGAAGTCCCTTCGATTGAACGACAACCCACGTCTGGGTACTCACGGCATCGCTGAATCGCTCTCCGAGTGCATCGACCTTAGAATCCTGGACGTGTCGCGCTCGGGGTTTGAGGGTATGATACCCGAAACGTTATTCGAGCGAATGTCGCGCTTAGTGCACGTCAACTTGAGCGGAAACTTGTTCACAGGAGAGCTTCCGCCCTCGTTAGCGGCGCCGAAGTTTCTGCGAAAACTCGAACTTCAGGACAATGGGTTTTATGGCGAGATCCCAGAGTGGCTTATACGTCGCGATCACCTCGAACTCGTGGATTTTACCAGAAATTCTTTCACCGGCGCGCTTCCGAGCGCGTTTTACAGCGCGTCGACACAGTCCATTCCGACGCTGCCTGGGTATGGAAATCGTCCTGCGGGGGTGCCACGGAGGTTTAAATTCGGACGGAATCCATTCTTTTGTCCTCTTCCGAATTGGGCGCGAGTCCTAACGGCGGCAACGTGTCGCGAGGCGACGATCGTATCCATCGAGCCGACTACGTCGAAGGGTGGCGACGTACTCACCATCGTCGGGAGCGGCTTTCATCGCGCTCAAATCAATGTTGGCTGCATGTTCGGTAATGAAGTCGAGCGCGTTTTTGTGCGCTCAATGAGAAGTAACGATACGCATGTATCGTGTGTTGTGCCGTCTTTACATTCGCTCCCTGGGGGGGCGCGACGAAAAAATAATGCCGCAGGTCTTGCCGTGTCTGTCCGAGTTGGGATTGAGAGTGCGGCGATGACGCTGGGTGAGTTGTTCATATACGAGGGAGTTAGTTAGATTTGTTGCTATTGAATGGTACCACAACTTGAATAGGTATTTCCTATTCAATGACATCACCGGGAGTGATTTGCATGTCTCCTCGCTCCGTCATCTGTGCGCGTCCCGTCATTCGCGGGACGGAACGTTTTTCTGTTCGCTTGGAGACCGTTACTATCAGCTCATTTATCTCTTCATCAACCTTATTTAGCGTTTCGGCCTCGTGCCTTGGTTTTTCTTGGTTCACACGTCTCGAGGTACTCGAGCGCATTGTTGGAGTCGTCATCGAATTTTCTCAAACGCTTCAGTCACTCTTGGAACCGGATATCGCGGGTTAACGTGAACCAAAAGCAGGAGCCGTGCTTGGTCGCGGGCATCCGTCGCGAGAAAATCACGCGCGTTCTCCACTGCGTCGCTCGTCATGCCGAACGTCGCGACGACCGCGAGGGCGTCCGACGCGCGGTCGACGCGCTCGCGCGAATTCGCTCAATCTGCGGGTGTTGTTCATGATGATGATTCTCTTCGACGACTTCGATCTCGAACGTCTTCCGGGCCCGCGCGGTGGACGACGCGACGACGACGCGTCGCGCGCGCGACGGCGGTGCTCGCGGCGCTCTTCGCCGTCACCGCGCGCGCGCAAGTTCGATGGGTACGCGCCGCGCGAGAGGCGACCACTCGACGATGACGACGACGACGCGACGCCGTCCGAGGGTAACGATTCCTCGTCTCGCGCGCGTGACGCGATGTGAGGGGATGACTGACGAGCGATATCGATTTGGTCGTTCAAATCGTAGCCCGTGGCGAAGGACTCGACGGTCCGTCGCGTGACGGTGTCGAACGACGACGGCGACGTGTACGTGGAGACCTCGGGCGCGAGCTCTGAAATCGTCCTAAAGTCTGAAAAGGTTCGCGTGGACGGCGACGTGCACTGTTACGACGGCGACGTCGGGATCTCGCAGAGGGTCGATGGGTTGACTGGACGCGTCGACGCTCTGAACGCCACGGACGCGACGATGAAGAGCGTGGACGCAGGGTTGGCGAATCGATTGGACTTGTTGAACGCAACCGACGATGGGTTGGTGAATCGATTGGACTCGTTGAACGCAACCGACGATGGGTTGAAGAGTCGGTTGGATGTTTTGAACGCCACGAATACAGAGTTGAAAACTAAAGAAACTGAATTGACTGGACGCGTCGACGCTTTGAACGCGACGGCTTCGGCGTTGACGCCCCCAAAGTGCATGCCCCCGGGCGGGGATAAGTTGCGCTTCGACGGCACCAACTGGTTGTGCGTGTGCGTGGAGAACTGGTCCGGGACGACGTGCGAGACGCCGCCGAGTCCGCCGCCGAGCCCGAGTCCGCCGCCGCCGTACGTGACGCCACCGCCGGCGCCGCCGAACCCGCCGCCGAGTCCGCCGCCCGATCCGGCGTCGCCCAACGAACTTTTACGTCTCGCCGTCGCGGCGTGCATCGCGAGGAGCAGCTCCGGCGCGTGTACGTGCACGTACAAAAATCCGTGTGGCTACGTCACCGACGGACGCAACATATCGGATTTCGACACGTCAAACGTGACGGACATGCGTGAACTCTTCAAGGAAAAGGAGGGTTTCAATCAAGATCTCTCGAGATGGAACACGTCCGCGGTGACGAGCATGTCGTACATGTTTTACAACGCGAGGGCCTTCAATGGAGCGATCGGGTCGTGGGACGTTTCGAGCGTGACGGACATGTCGTACATGTTTTACGATTGGTATTCTTGGCAGAGTAAATTCAATCAACCGATCGGGTCGTGGGACGTTTCGAGCGTGAAGGACATGTCTTACATGTTCTATTACGCACACTCGTTCAACCAAGACTTGAACAACTGGAACGTGAGCGCGGTGACGAACTTCTATCGGATGTTTTATAGCGCTCGCCAGTTCAACGGTGATATCACGAGTTGGGACGTCCGAGGCGCGTCTTCGATGTACGACATGTTCGCGGACGCGTCTGCGTTTAACCGTGACATTCGATCCTGGGACGTATCCTCCGACGTTGACACGGGGAATATGTTTCGCGATACGCGTTTCGTGCAGAGTTTCAAGTGTCCGAACGACCAGGACGGCCCGCCGTCGGCGTGTTACGTCACGCCGTTCTCCTCCTCCGTCGCCCTGGAGCAAGCCGTGGACGCGTGCTTCGTAGAGGCGCTCGACGGATCTTGTCAATGTCTGGACAAGTGCGGCGAGGCGGGACTTCCAATCTCGTCGTGGAACACCACGGGCTTGCTCAACATGCACGATTTGTTCGCCGATCGCGAGTTCTTCAACGAAGACTTGAGCAAGTGGGACACCTCGCGAGCGATTCGCATGGACGACATGTTCCGAAACGCCAAGGCGTTCAATCGCGACATCTCCTCCTGGGTCGTCGATAGCGTCCGCGATATGTCCAACATGTTCAACGGCGCGACGACGTTTAGTCGTAACCTCACGAGTTGGCGCATCGCGAGCGGGGCGAATCTCACCGACATGTTCAAGGGCGCGACGGCGCACAACGCGCGATTCACGTGCGACGACGCGGACGACGGTCCGCCGAGCTCGTGCGCGGCGACAGCGTACCCATCCAGTCTGGCGCATCGTTTCGACTTTTCCGAAACGGTGGAAACGTCGGGGGACGTCGTGACCTCATTCGCGGACGCGACGGGCAAAGCGACGGACGTACAAGTCGTCGGGTCGCCGACGTACGCGCGACACGTCCAGGCTGGATTGAACGCCATCAACTTCACCGCGAATGGGCAGTACCTGCAGTTTACCGCCGGCGGAGGCTCGGAACCCGAGGTTTTCATCGTCTATCGCGTCTTGGCGTACGCAGAGCTAGGTGTGATCTTCACCCACGCGACAGGCTCGACCGGGAGCTATGGTTTTGGGACGTCTCAGATGGGCGTGGCGAATAAGATTGGTCTCAGCGCGTCGGACGGCTCGGCTTTCGCGAGCGTCAACGCGTCGTACGACGCGTGGCACGTCGCCGACGTGTACTTTGGCTCGAGCGACGGTTTCGTCGACGTCGACAACGGCACGAGTGCGGTGGATTTCCAAACGAGCGGCAAGTACACGGCGAATACGTTGACGAATGTCATGATTGGCGGCGCCGCGTTCGACGGTCACCACGTCCCGAACCTCATCGGCGAGGTTTTGGTTTTCAACGCCAAATTATCCGACTCTGATCGCGCGCGCGTGCGCGCGGCGCTCATGTCCAAGTGGGACGTCCCCATACCCGATCGACGATGGCGGTACGTTGAGCAGGCCAAGCTCACGGCGTCCGATCCTGGCTTGAACGATCGCTTTGGCTCCTCCGTGAGCGTGTCGGGCGACACGGTTGTCGTCGGGGTCCCGAACGACGACCAAAGCGGTGGTACTTCTGACGGTGACCACGGTAGTGCGTACGTGTTCACGCGCGCCTCCGACGGTACGTGGACGCAGCAGGCCAATCTCACGGCGTCTGATGCTGGTTCGAGCGATGAGTTTGGCTACTCCGTGAGCGTGTCGGGCGACACGGTTATCGTCGGTGTCCCGAACGAGGACCACAATAGTACCTCTAATTATAACTATGGTAGCGCGCACGTGTTCACGCGCGCCTCCGACGGGACATGGACGCAGCAGGCCAAGCTCACGGCGTCCGATCCTGGTCCAAGCGATGAGTTTGGCTCCTCCGTGAGCGTTTCAGGCGACACGGTTGTCGTCGGGGCACGTTATGATGACGTCAATGGTCTATCGAACAGCGGCAGCGCGTACGTGTTCACGCGCGCCTCCGACGGGACATGGACGCAGGAGGCCAAGCTCACGGCGTCCGATCCTGGTTCAAGCGATCACTTTGGCTCCTCCGTGAGCGTTTCAGGCGACACGGTTGTCGTCGGGGCACGTTATGATGACGTCAATGGTCTATCGAACAGCGGCAGCGCGTACGTGTTCACGCGCGCCTCCGACAGGACATGGACGCAGGAGGCCAAGCTCACGGCGTCCGATCCTGGTTCAAGCGATGAGTTTGGCTTCTCTGTGAGCGTTTCAGGCGACACGGTTGTCGTCGGGGCACATTATGATGACCATGATACAAACACAAATTACAACTATGGGAGCGCGTACGTGTTCACGCGCGCCTCCGACGGGACATGGACGCAGGAGGCCAAGCTCACGGCGTCTGAACCCGAATCAAGCGCTGAGTTTGGCTACTCCGTGAGCGTGTCTGGCGATACGGTTGTCATCGGGGCGCGTCAAGATAGAGCGAATGGTCAATCGTACGGCGGCAGCGCATACGTATTCAGACATCAAGGCGCGACCTGGGCACAAACGAACAAGCTTGTTGCGTCTGATCCTCGCCAATACGATGAGTTTGGCTCCTCCGTGTGCGTGTCCGACGAAACAATAATTGTTGGAGCAACTGAAGAATCTTTTGGTAGAGAAGGTAGCGGAAGCGCGTACACATTCGCGCTCTCGTCGTGATGCTTCAAGAAGTACACATTTTGATGTAATGCAGACTGTAATGCGAACACAACGGCTCGTAGTATTTCCCCCAGACGTGTCTTAGTGCCTCGTTGTCGCAGCGCTCGTGAGCATCGTTGTCGCCTTTCGATTTTTGACCTTGAAATCACACTGGAAATGGACACCAGAGGGCTCTGATTGGAGAGGCGTTGTAATACGACCATGAGGAGGTACGAAGGGCCGTGGAACAGCTCGTGATCCCACATCGTGAGCCCGTGGAGCTGTTGCCGAGATCGAGTCGCATCATTGCCATGCAACAAGCGCTCGTCGATACGTACTCACTGTCTCACAGTAAATCCTAAATCTGAATGTGTAGCGCGCGTGAAACTCGCTTGGATGTATCGACAGATGAATTACAATGTTTTTCTATTCGCATGGAGACCGTTATCATCATCAGCTCATTCATCTCTTCATCAGCCTTATTTAGCCTTTCGGCCTTGTTTCTTGGCTTTTCTTCGTTCACACGTCTCGAGGTACTCGAGCGCATCGTTGGAGTCGTCATCGAATTTTCTCAAACGCTTCAGTCGCTCTTCGCACTTTGGGTGGTTTAATTTGTACCACCACTTTCCCACCGGAACGCCGTCTCTTTCCCCAGCATCTTCATGGTCCCATCGCGCGAGTGTGGCCACATCGTTCTTTCTCGGCAACTTGCCATCCAAGTGGTCGCGGACGTGCGCGCTGAAAATCTTCAACTTGCGCGCGTCGTGCGCTGTGTTCACGCATGCACGGCCATCTTCGCGCAACACACATGTCTCGAGATACTCGAGCGCATGCTTCGAGTCGGCATCGAATTTTCTCAAACGCTTCAGTCGCTCTTCGCACTTTGAGCGGTTTAAGTTGTACCACCACAATCCCACCAGAACGCCGTCTCTTTCCCCAGCATCTTCATGGTCCCGTCGAGAAACAAGTCCAATTTTTAGGGTATTTTATTGTACATTTTCTAGACCCTAATTCTATAGGGGTATGCCGTGTCCACGGTGTGTCTGTCTCTTTTCGTGGTGGTGTTGCTCTCGGTTTAGGATCCTCCTGTCCGTTCTAGACCCTAATTCTAGGGGAATTGGGTTTAGGGTTTAGGGTTTAGGGTTTAGGGTTTAGGGTTTAGGGTTTAGGGTTTAGGGTTTAGGGTTTAGGGTTTAGGGTTTAGGGTTTAGGGTTTAGGGTTTAGGGTTTAGGGTTTAGGG